AAATGGCAATGGCCACAAATTTGCTTCAGGGACAACAAAGCGAGTGGGCATTATTGAAAAGACATGTTAGTGAAGATATATTTGGTGTTCAAATTTGTGGATGCAAGGCACATCATATGGTGAAATGTACCGAAATATTGTCTAATGAGATTGAAGTTGATTTTATTGATGTCAATTTGGGATGTCCAATAGACTTGGTTTATAATAAGGTAATATTTGGTGAATATTTACAAACATTACAGAAAAAACGTGGCTCATATATTGTTTTGGATTTAGGGAGGGGGGACTGCACTTTTGCGACACGATGGAAAATTAGGGAAGATACTTCGTGGCATGAACAGGGTTAGTATGAATTAATTATTTTCCACATTTGTTAATGTCTTTATCAAAATTAATTAATTTGATTCATCCCACTATAAAGATTACGGATATACCAATCACTGTAAAACTGCGCACAGGTATTCAGGATGATATACCAGTTGCACATAAACTTCTGCCAAAATTCGAAAATTGGGTGAGTATTATACTTAACACCATTTTTAATTTGTCATTGACCAACATACTAATATTTCTATTTATATTTAATTATTATTAAGGGCGTGTCGATGGCTACAGTTAATATTCTATTTTACATCAAATTCCATTAAAATTTAAATATTCTAGAAATTACATTTACAAATATATGTTCTATTTTATTGTCCAAAAATAGTTACATGGTCGTTCACGCCAACAACGATATACTAAACTCGCTGATTGGCAATACATTTCTAAAGTTTCATATACTGTAAATGAGATGCCACTATTTGGTAATATAACACTGTATTTTTTTTGACTTTTCTAGTGAATATTAATTATAGATATTATTAGGCAATGGAGATGTTCTCGGATATACAGATTATTATGAGCATATAAAAAAGCATCACGTTGATGGTATCATGATCGGACGTGGTGCTTTGGTGAGCAACCATCTAAGTTCAAATACTGTCGATTATTAAGTTTGAATAAATATCTCATCAACTTTTGTTGTAATCATGAAGATTAAACCTTGGATATTTGATGAAATCAAATCAGAGAGACATTATGACATTTCATCTAGAGAAAGATTAGATATTTTGAAAAAGTTTTGCAATTACGGATTGGAGCATTGGGGATCTGATTCTATAGTGAGTTATCATCTTTTTTTTCTGGATTTTCTGTTATCATTTATGCTGTGAATGTGATTTATATCTTGTTAATTTTTTAGGGGATTAATCAAACTCGAAGATTCTTTTGCGAATGGATGAGTTTCCTATATAGGTACTTTGGTTATTTTTATTATTTTTATTATTAATTTTTGTAAAGGTTAAACTAACTAATTGCTTTTAGATATATCCCCGTCGGATTGCTTGAGGTCTTGCCACAACGTATAAATGAGCGCCCTCCATCTTTTCGCGGGAGGGATGAACTAGAAACCCTGATGGCTAGTGGAAATAGTAACGATTGGGTAAAACTAAGGTAAATGTCAATTAATATTTAACAACTGGTTTTGTAAGATGTGACTAAGAGAATATCCTTTAATTTATATAGTGAGATGTTTTTAGGTCCAGCACATGAAAGTTTTAAATTTGTACCAAAGCATGCCTCAAATTCCTATTCCTATGAGGGATAGAAATAGATATTTGTTTATTATTATCTCGCAACTTATTATTTCTTTATTTCCAAATTACTATTATAAGTAGAAGTATGAATATTAAACCGTTTGACTCGACTTGAAGATCCAATAACTAGTTCGGTCTAATATATTAGTAAATCTTCGACTGCTTTAACATCAATTAGAAATATTTTCTGAAGCCTATAGATCTTTTTATACTTAATACGTATATTATTGATTTTATCTGATAATAAAGAAAAGAAAATAAAGGTTTAGTAGTAATCTTATTTCTTTTTGTTTGTTTTTTAGATTTTGTTTGGTTTTTTTTTATTAGCAATTATAACCTCTTGGTATAAGTAATATAGGCAATTTATAACAATTATAAAAAACTTGAAAAAATTTTAATAGTAAACTCTAATATTACACAAACGTTGAACTTTAAAAAATTTTTATAATAATAAAGTTAATAAAATTAATACATTAGTTACATGATTTGTTATATGTGAAATTTTTAATATGGGATTAAATGATCAACATATTTAAATTTTATAAATAAAATTTAGACAAATTTTGCTTTTTAGACTTATTTAATATTAAAAAAGTTATTGGTTTAATTTTTAAATAGCATTTTGTAAATTTCTTGTATCTAAAAAAATTTTTTATAAAATTTGAAGGGTGGTTAAAAATAAAATTAAAAAATATTATTGTTATAAAGTTGGTAATTTTTTTATAATTTTTATTATTTATTTTTTTTTTATAATTTGATTATCTTGCTGCTGTTTATTTAAGATTGGAACTATTTGACAAATTACAAGAATGTTTCTCTATAGCTTAATCAATCCACCCAAACAAATGGTTCACCAAGCTTTTGCCTAATGTAATCCGCCTCAGTAGCTATTGGCCTCTCTTCAGGTTCTTAATTTGCCAAGGATTTTTTTTTCTTTGGTCTTTAGCTAGTAGCTATGTGCCTTATCAAAATGTCTTATATTTCTTTTTAATAATGAATATGAACACAAATTCAAAGAATAGTAAAAAAAAAAAGAAAAAATATAACAACTAGATCTGAATTTACCTAAACAAATAAAACCAAAAAACAAAACAGAAAAAAAACAAAACTTTTTTTTAGCAATATTGAATAGTTATGCTAGTAACTTATGTTTATTCAAGTTTTGCTCTGCTGATACTATTAGACAAATAGTAATCTCTGTTGCTCTATTTGATAATTTTATTTAGTCTAAAAAAGATGCTAACAACTCTTTAAAAGCATAGTATAATATTATGTTTAACCAAAAAACAAAGTTCTTAAATACTTTATAAGCCTTTTCTAAATATTTTTTATAATTATTATTAATAGACTTGTTTATCAAACATTTAGTTTTACTAAGCAATTCTCTAACTAATCTAGTAAGAGATATGACAAAAATCAAGTGATTTTTTTTAGAAAAGGATGGGTAAAAAAAATTAAAATTATATATAAGAATCTGATTTTTTTATATATTAAAAAGGAAGAGAAATAAATTACTAATAAAAAATAATCAGATGATAAATAATATTACCTAATACTGCTCTCAAATACTATTAGCTATTTTTGCAAGATTTTAATTTTTCAGATAAGTCTATAATTTGACTTGGCTTAGATAAATTGATTTACTCTCTAGGTGAATTTATAATTAATAGCTACTACAAGACCAATATCTATACAGAAACTATAATAACTACACATATTCTGTATTTTCTTGTATAATATAATGCTTTGTGAATTTAGCTAAATAGAAAATACAAATAATTTTTTACTTCTGCTTAGTCTATTTGTAAACCTGTTAATCTTAAACTTTTTATATATTTTCTTCAAATAACTTATTACTCCTAAACTCAATTTCTAATTTTCTTAATCTACTTCTTTTGTAAAAAAATCTGTAAGGTTTAATTCATTTAAAATTCATTATATACTAAAAATTCTCTTATTATTTTCTATATAAATCTTTTAGATTTGTCTCATAATATTCTTATACTACTGTACCAATCTTCTTTTAAATCTATTTTTAGTGCTATTTTATTGTCTATAAAGAGATAATCTACAAACTCTTTAATAGGCTTTTGAAAGATTCTAGCATCTATAGTATTGCCAGAGCTTTTAGCTAAGCTAGTATATTTAAAATATAGAGCTATATCTAGTTTATTGCTACTTTGTGCTCTTGAAAACTCTATACCAACTAACCATTAATTCATCAATATAAACTAATTTTACTTAAGAGGGTTTTTAAACTAACTGATCATTTTATTTCTTTAAGCTTTCTATTAACCAATAAATATTCTTAATTGCTTGTACTAATAACTGAACTTTGCTATTCTACTCTGATATACTATAATTTCTTGTATCTATAAGCTAATAAAATTTTATATATTTTATCTGGCTTAACAAAAAAGCTCTTACTAAACTTATTATTTTGTTTACTACAGATACTGAATCTCTTGCTATTACTATTAATCTTCCTAACAAATTTTTTAATATCATTACAACTGCTATGATTTTTTTTTTCTAAATTATTATTCTTCTACCCAGTATATTTACAAATATTTTACATTCTAGTTTGCTTTTTCTATAATCTAAATCTAACTATATCTATTCAGATCTATTTTTATTACTTTTTTTTTATTTTTATTAATATTTTTTTTATTGAATGAATTACCTAAATATTGTAAAGATGATTCTCACAATAAATCTCTTAAATATGCTACTTGCTAATTAAAACTCTTACTATTTTAAAAAAATCTACAATGCTTAGTTTAAACCAAAAAACAATACTCTATATTGGTACCAACTCTTTCTAACTATAAACTCTAATATTCTTTAAATTTTACTATTTATCAAAATAATATAATAACTATTCTTGAAATTAAATAAAATTGACTACTAGCCTTATCTAATTGTCCACAACAGACTCTTCAAATCTTCAAAATATAATGATTTTTGTAACAATATTTTGTTTAATTTTTTTAAATTTATTATTAACTAAAATTTCTTGAAATCCTGATTTGAAATTAAAAAACAGGGCTTATCTTCAATAAGTCTATCAGTTGTATACTCCTGCTATCTACCTTTATTATTATACTTGATCTCTTTAATCTTTTTAATTTGTCTTTCAACTATAGTTCTCTTTCTCTTATAAAATACTGTATTAAAATATAGAGCAATTGATTTACTAGCCATATAAGATTTTTTGAAAATAAGAAAATCTCTTTTTTAATTATTCTACTACTAGTCAAAATAGCTATATTACCCTTTTTTAATATTTTATTGTCTCTTATTTATAAATTTTTTCTGTCACACAATACTTCATCTCTACTCTGTTTCTTTTTAACTATTTTCAAATATTGTTAACTACTTTTGGATTAGATGCTTTCTTCTTGAAAGAGCAGACTAATATATTTTTTTAAAATTATACTTATTTGCAAAGTACTTCTTTTCTTTGTATACAAAACAAATTACTTTATTATTTTTAAAACTTTTTTCTTGTCAAATCTTTTAGACTATTAAAAAAATCAAATAAAACAAATACTGCTATGTTAGTAATAGCAAAACAATACTTGGTATTATTTACTATTCTCTAGCTTATATAAGTTATAAAACTAATTAGAAGGTTTGCGAAAGAACTAATATAAAACCTTCAACTGGCTTGATAATTCTAGATGCTAGCTTATAAATTATAACTAAAAACCTATCAATTAGCCATAAGGCTATACTTGTAAAACCTGTACTATAAAATATTGTCTATTAAAAAAAATAATATTAAAAACCAAAACTGTTTAGCACAAGTATAATAAAAAGTTTTTAGCTTTTTAAATTGTAAAAAATATTGCATAATTAACATATTACTTTCCTGTTTACTTTTAATAACTTAAATATTAAATCAGACCTATTCACAATTGCTATTTTTGAAACAACCTTCTAACTATTCTTATCAACAACCCTAACAATATAGGCTTTTTTTAGAGTAATCAGTTTTGCTAATTGCAAATAGTTTATATCATTAAAAACCAAAATCTTATTTATTAATAACCTTGTCCAACTCTTTCTGATAATCACTTGAACTAAATTTTTATCAAATGCAAGACGAAGTGTTGAAGCCTAAAGTTCTAGTAAACTTCTATTCTTTGTAATAGAATATTGTCAATGAAGACTACAGATGTGATACACTGAGGCACAGGTGACTATATATTGGTTTTCAAAAAAATTAAGCTTTTCTTCTTGGTGGACTCCTATTACATATTTGGTATCTAAACCAAAAGGATATTTTGAGAATACTATAGTGCAAAAATCTATATTTAGAAGAAAAAAAAAACTAAAGGATGAAACAAACAGATTGGGAAAGCACTCTTTAAATTTGAAACCTCGCAAAATTACTTTTTATTAGGCTGTTTCTTTTTTTATAATTTTTGACAAAAAGTGGGAATTTGGTTACCCCCCTCCAAAAGATTGGCAAGAGACCAGCATTATTTATCACTTCTATTCTCAGAAAGTCTCGAGTTGTGATATGATGAATAAGAAAAACAACAAACATATGTAAGAAAGAAGTTTTGAGGCTGAAATTAAAACTAATAATTATATATCGAGGCTTTAAGATCGGTTATTCTAGAACCTGAGTTAGATTTAATATGAGGGTTAATAATTAGAGTAGTAATATAAAATATGCAATATTCTGAAGTCATAGGCATATAATTTTTAGTCCTTAGTACAGGCTAAAATGTATTATAGTTTTTTTTGTCAAATAGCTTTATATATAGATTTCTATAACCATGTAAATAGTTTTTTACTTGGTTAGCAGGTTTTTATATCTATAAACAAGTTTTTTTAGATTTTAGAATAGTCTTTAACTCCTTTATAATTTGGTTATTTTCTTTGTATGTTCATTTTTTTTACTTACCTCTGTTTTGCTCTACACTTATCTTTTTTTTTCTTTATACTTTTCTATGAGAAAGTGTCATCAGATTAGTAGCACTCTATTGTAGAGTGGTGA